CAAATCGTCCACCTGCCAGACACAGCAGTCGGTCACTGGTTTAGATGTCAAATGCTGCGGGACGTGGTCGCCCCGTGATGCAAGTTTTCGGCACCATAGCATTCGATGACCTATAATGCAAACGACCTTGAGCGACACAAACTATCTAGCACCAGCCTCAACGAAGCTATGCTTCGGAGCCAGGAGAGAAGCAAGTGCGACGTGAGCAGTGAGTTGAGCCAAGTGTCAGTTTTGAGCATTAGAAAAGAAGGATTTCCAGGCATATATGGCAAGCAAAATGCACAGACGCCAAGTAGAACCATGACCTCTTCTCGCCATCCGCTGCGAAGTGAGCCGATAGGAGCGAGAACCTTAGTTCTGCGTTCCTACACGGCGGGTGGTAGATAGTGGCAATGAAGGATGCCCAGGGGGAACCTTAGTTCCCGCTGTTGATGTCCGACATTTCCAATTTTGTACAAAGAGGTACAGATATCATGCTAGGAGAGCTCAATGTTTCACAGGTTTCACACGGGCCTTGCGCGCACCTCTCACCTTTTGCCATTAAACTGCGCCGCACAGACTCAAGTGACATCCCCTTTTTGGCACCGTTGAGTGCCGAAGGGTGTTGGGTCTGCCTCCCCACGGGGAGGTGGTGCCCGATTCACCCCTAGCTGCAGGCTTCTCTCGCTAGGAATCATCGCTGTAATTGAATTCTGTATGGCAGCATGTGACTGGCCTTGTATGCGCCACCGGTTGAACGGGTTGTGCTACAAGTATGGTCTTTTCCATGGATTGCTGCTTTGATCTTCGCACATTCGGTTGGCCTGATTACAACCACTGCTGGAGCATTGCGAGACATCTGACCTGCAAAGTGACCTTGTTTTGCCACACTGTGGTGTGGCCGCTGGTCACCAACACTTGGTAAGGAAAGCCCGTTTGAAGCCTTCTAGGCGGCTTTCCATGCACACAGCTTGCGCTGCAGTCCTCTTCTTTTGCGAATTCAGGCCCACTAGTTGGCACTAGTCTCAGTTTCACACGTTTCACCTAGAGTATAGGGAAGACTACAAGATGGTGGAGTCGGCCTGCGGGCTTGGGTGTTTGGTTTTGGTTGGTTTTTGGGGTCTTCGTTCCTTTCTCCACCATCTGTCTTTTCTTCCCTTCCTTCAACGATGACCTGGGCACCATGCCCACACGGCGTCCGTACTCGTGGAAAAAAGCTGGTCACCAACACTTGGTAAGGAAAGTCCGTTTGAAGCCTCCTAGGCGGCTTTCCATGAACACAGCTTGCGCTGCAGTCCTTTTCGTTTGCGAATTCAGGCCCATTAATCGCCACTAGTCTCAGTTTCACACGTTTCACCTAGTGTAGAGGGAAGACTACAAGATGGTGGAGTTTCGGCCTGCGGGCTTGGGTGTTTGGTTTGGGTTGGTTTTGGGGCCTTCGTTCCTTTCTCCACCATCTGTCTGTTCTTCCCTTCCTTCAACGATGACCTGGGCACCATGCCCACACGGCGTCCGTACTCG